TGGGTGTGTGTGGATTATTATTATTTTTATATTCTATTTTTTGCTGTGTAGTGCAACCTTCCCGTTTGGTTGTTGTGGGTTTGTGAGCTTGGAATATATGATTTCTGGGTTTTATCTTTGTAATATAATAAACTAGTTACCATTTGAATATTCTGTGGTTTGGGGTTTTAGCACCTGCTTATAGAATAAGGGGTTCAGCTAGTCCCCCTGACACTCCTCTCCAACGAAATCTACCACCACCCGCACACACAGAACGACCCCTATCGGGCATGGGGGTACTTGTCTGTAACCCATGCATCTGGAAGACTGAGTTTGCTGTACTGCTTGAGTATCGCAGCTCAGTGCTGTGTAGGGCCACGTGGATCGGAGGTCCCGGTGATGGTCGGCATCAACATGGTACTTCCGGTGCAACCCAGGAGCACTGGGTCAGCTCGACAGGAGTGAACCAACCGCAGGCCGGTGACGGAGCAGGTGACAACTCCCGCGCTGAGTTGTCTGTGCGCAGCCTTCGAGAGTGGATGCTGCGTTGCTGCATGGACAAGATGGCAGGGTGCTGCCTTTTGTGAGGCACTGTTGCTCGCAAATGAAAGCTTTTTCTTTCAGCCCCCGCTGGCTTTCCCTGCCATACCGAAAGGAAGCTCCACACTCCCCATCTGCGAATCAAACCCCAGTCTCCTACGAGTCAGCTGGGGATACTCACCACTATACTAACAAACAGACAGGGTAAGTCTGCTCACCCCTGTGAATCCCCCACGTCTATTAGCATGGCCAGCTTCCCTCACTCTCCTCATCTCCTTATGGCTTCCCTGTGGTACATCAAGGGTCCTTTGGTCATAGTCAGGATGGCCGAGCGGTCTAAGGCGCTGTGTTCAGGTCGCAGTCTCTCCTGGAGGCGTGGGTTCGAATCCCACTTCTGACATTTCTTTAGCCCTTGGAAGTGAAGCGCCAACTGCCATCTCTGTCTTGAAAAATAATGCAGTGACGCGAAGTGAAGTGGCAACGGCCATCTCTAATTTCAAAAATAATGCAGTGACGCTAGACATCCTGTCCCAGCGATGGAAAAACTGATACTGAGCTGAGGTAGTTGTGGCCAAGTGGTTTAGGCGATGGACTAGAAATCCATTGCGGTCTCCCCGCGCAGGTTCGAATCCTGCCGACTACGTGGTGTTCGTTTATTTTGCCAGTAGCTGTTTGCTCCCCTGGCTTTGTGTCACTCTTATATAGCATGTGTTGACTCTGTTGATATTTTTTGCCCTTCTTCCTCCCTCCATCTACCTGTCTATCAATCTATCCAAAGGTTATAGGGTAAATTACTTTGATATACTTTTTGAGTATATTCAACATTGTGATAAAAGAGAGGCCTTAGCTGCAGTTACTCCTCTCCAACGAAATCTACCACCACCCGCACACACAGAACGACCCCTATCGGGTGTGGGGGTACCTGTGTGTAACCCATGAATCTGGAAAACTGAGGCTGCTGGACTGCCTGAGTATTGCAGCTCAATGTTGTGTAGGGTCACGTGGATCGGAGATTGTTGTCATTTTAGTCAGACATGCACAATAGTCATTGTCATAAATTCTTTATTTATATGCATTTTTGTACATAATGCAGTGCATTTTAACATCTGTAGAATACTTAATTCTTCTGATAATTCTTTGTAAACAGTGCGCAGTGTGACGCTTTAGTGACAGAAGTGTGGATGAGGAGCTCTGCCCAAGGAAAATATGTAGCTCAATGGACAGAGAGCCAGCGTCAGTGCAATATATCAGCAGTGTTTTGTTGCTGTGATGATACCAATGATTCAGTGCTTAGCTGTGGAAATACAGAGGTGTTCAACTGAAGGAAAATTATACCCAGACCCAGTGTGCAATTGAACTTACTTTGAAGAAAAAGTTATTGTCATAAAGTATTTTAGTTGTTCAGCAGATTCAAATATGGCAAATTGGAGGGGGATAGAGGCCAGTTTGCCTAGAGTAAGGTTAAGTTTATCAGAATATGTACCATGAGAAAGTATATAGATTACGCATGGAGAGTTTACCAGAGAGAAGCCTCGCAGCTACATTTTTTGGTGAGTTAATAACAATATTATACATAAACATGCTTGTCAAGCTCCTGAAAACACCCTTAGTTATAAACACTCTTGACTATTCCAGAATGTAGGCCTATTTGTCCTTATGACAAGAGCAGCAAATATCAATGTCATTCGGCTATTAGTACTAGACGTTGGTGTGCTAGTTAAATTACTCAATGATGCCTGCTGGCACTAACCCATTGTTTGAAAAGGACACTTGTTTTAAATGTACTATTAGCAGTAATGTTGCCAACCTAGAATGAGGTTATTTAGAAGTAATGGACAGGTTTCATTAGCCATACATGAAATTAACATGTAGATATTTCCATGTTAAACAGCAGCTGGAGCAAGCTAATGCTATTGTTGAAAAGTGATGGAAACGCTTATCAGTCTCCTTCTGCATAAGTGAGAGCACATCAAGTGCCGTGATTTCCAAAGGACTGCTTAAAATGAGCACTAATATGTGTTTTGATGACCAAGGCAGCGCAACGGCCTCAGAACTGGGCTTTCGGCTGGGGCTGTTGTTGTGCAGTTGCCCAGGGCAACAAGAAAACACAGGCATGTCTTCAGTGGTACTGAGCTGGGATTAGTGATTGAGAAGGTCAGGCCAGCCATCTTGGCAATGTCCCACTATGTCTGCAAAGCTGGGAAATATGTTTGTCCATCACTGTTGAAAGGGTCCCACCTAAAATATATAATATAATACCAATTTGACTGAAAGCATTAAACTGAAGATTAACAATCACTCTCATTCCTTTCTGCGACAATGTGAGCATGTCTGTGTCAGCCAGTAAACTAACTCTTCCAGTTCATAAAACTATTCTAAATCTTGCCACTTGGGGGTGCTGGGTTTCTGCCTCAATATTTCACAGAGGAAATTTACGACTGTTTATGCTGCAGTTATGCTGGTATCATCTCAAATATGTTCTCTGAGACGCACAGGAATCCTTCTGTTTTATACTTAGCTGTTAAACTGTGGGTAACATCTGTTTTGTCTGGTATAAAATCCCCATTGGTCACATTTAGTAGCACGTAGCTGAACATCTGCACAGACATTGTTTACTCAGGTAAAATTAAAATAAGCCACAGAATAATTTTCTTGTGCCGCAATTGTAGTAACAGTTTTGCGATGTCTGAACATTTTTTGAATGAGTCTCTTTGTTTAGATTTGTTTATGCAACCTGACCTGTCTCACTGCATTGTCTGTATCCAGTTATGATCAGCGGAATATGTCTCATCGAAGAAGAACTACAGCTGGATAACCTTTTGCTCCTGAAGGAAGCCTTACTTGCCATACTTACTTGCTTGCCATACTTCCTGCAGCCAGCAGGGGGATCCAGGAGGCACAAGAATGGCATGAGTTTGCAGGAGTTCCAGGCAGCCTTGTGATCTCCGCTTGGCTCCGAGCTACAGACCAACCAGATGGAGATGCACTTCAAGAAGGTAACTATGCCCACCCATGCCAGACACAAACATCAGAGCTTTAAGGTGATGTTTCTGTCCAATAACATGCAGCCAATTCTCCCCTTTGACAGGTAGATGTGTCCTGTGACAGCTTCGTGGACTGGGACAAATTTTGCTGGGGAGGTACAAGGAAAAGGAGTTGATCTCTCAAACTAGAGACCCATTCCTCACCCCTCAGCCACAGATCAGGCACTGCCAATATAAAAAAGGTTACAGGATTTTCACTGCTCTTTACATGCATCCTTTCCTTGTGTTGTATTCCTCTGATCCCTCATTGTTTGGTCACATCCCCAACCTCCCCAACAGCGAGAGCCAACGACTCATGTCCTGGCAGTGTTTCAACCCCCACTGCTGCACTTGTCTGTCAGCAAAAAGGGCACTCTAATCACCTGGGACAGCAATCTGGAAATAATGAGGACTCAACAGGTGAACTCAATAATTCCTAACTTCTGATTCGTCCACTCACTCCTCCTGACAATAGTTCCTAACTTCTGATTTGCCCACTCACTCCTCCTGACAATAGTTCCTAACTTCTGATTCGTCCACTCACTCCTCCTGACAATAGTTTCTAACTTATTATTCGTCCACTCACTCCTCCTGAGACTCGTTCCTAACTTCTGATTCGTCCGCTCAGCCCTACTGATAGTAGTGCCTGACTTCTGATTTGATCACTAATGAATTTTCTGTCAATTTATGTGTCAATGAAGTATTAATTATTAACCCTGAAATCCCTATGATCTGTGCGTTGATTTAGAAAAACTCCCAGGGGACACCAGTGAAGGAGACAGAAACAAAAGGAAGTTCAGGAACTGGACGACTGACGCTGTCTACATGCATAATGTCCACAGGATTGCCGTTGTCACCACCAGCAGGGACATCCACTTCTTTGATGTCTCCATGCGCAACAGTTTAGTGGAGTTCCACTTGTTTGGCGCATGCCCAAGGCCCAGATTTCCAAATAAATATTGCTTTACTTAAAAAATGACACGTCTTTTATTTTGTTCATGGGTTGTTATATCGCAGGAATAAAAAGTGCTCCAACTGAACTTTACTACTGCCATGGGCATTATTAGGTCCCCGAGTATTTTAGTCCCAATGCCAATCGCCCTTCAAAAACCAAAAACGTCAAACCCCAGGTAAACTTGACTTACCTGCTTATCTTTTCTATAGCTAAAAACTCCTCTGGCTACTGGTATGACACTAAGGTAAAAAAAAATGTTTTTTCAGATGGTAGCTTTGACTCTATAACAGTATTGCCCAATCTGGTCCTCGGGGACCTACAGACAATACATATTTTTGCTCCCAGCAGGAAGAGAGAAAAAATATGGACTGTCTGGCAGGGTGCTGGGAAGGAGCAAAAACTTGGAAAATGCATACTTCTCAGGTGTGATGATTCCCCATTGGTTCAAGATGCAGGTGAAATTGTTGAGCAGTTGTAGCTCAGTTGACTGAAAATGTCAAACTGCAATTTCCTCAACACAGTTAGTAATTTAGTCATTTAGGCATCTGACAGAAAGGGGTAGTATGGTCAAGTAACAAGACACAGACCCGTATTATACCTAAAACTGTACTTTTGCTAGTGACCTCCACAGGCAGTGGTCTATAGAATAGTGTAGATGGTATGGGGGAGGGCGTATGGGGGGGCAGGGGGGATTAGCAGGGGTGCCTGAACACCTGCTTCTTTCTTTGGTCCAAATGATTGAGTACCCCCATGATTACCAACTTAGCAAACGGCAACCCCCGGTCTGCAATTTCTGAGAATTTGGGAGTATACTACACCCACAGAGTACACTACACCCATAGAGTCTGACAGGTTTGCAACAAATGATTATGTCAATGGGCTAGCAAATGGAGAAACAACAACAGAAAATATATGACCATGAAATACTGTTTTATAAGGATACTGCGATTCACAAAATATACTGAGGATTATTGTGGATTTCAATTCCCTCAGCATATGCAAAAAGCAAGAAATATGTTGTTAGATGTGAAAGAATGTTGTAGACAATAACAAGACTGTGTAATAAATAAGAGAGCTGGAAACATACAGATTAAACAGAGTCAGTCATGCTTTTTAAGCTTGTTTTGGTTTTGCCTTTGTGGTTTTGAAATGTATTTTTCCTGCCTCCATCAAATAATTTCAGGTAAGCGACCATAACTGAAATAACAGTTTACTTATAAAGTTACATAATATTGAGAATTGCCTACTGCAGCTGTGTTATGCCCAAACAAACAATTTTAAATAATAAGCACGAGCTAAAAATATTATTTATTGTTGAAACACAGGAAAGGGAGAAGTAGATCAGGTTTGGGACATCTTTGAGGAATTGGTCTCTGACTCCACTGGACAGTTACTTGCTACAATGTCCACCACGATCCATTTCACAACATTTCTTTATTTACTTTATCATTCTTTGGGAATTTTGGGCGAGATAAAAACCTACAACAACATCACTTTGTTTTCCAGACAGAAATGTCTCTGGCAGATCAGTTTTTTGGCAGAAAATATTTCCAGTGAGAATAAACCCGCTCTGTGATTCCCCATCACGGGAGCAAAACCGTTTCTGTGTTCAGCAGTCTGAGCCCGAAATATTCTGTGCCTGAGTGATAATATTGAAAGAAGAATGGTTCAGATTCTGCCAGAAAAAACAGCAAACATCTCAGAAACTACCGGTAATACAGGGAGCCGACAGCACTTCCTGACTATGTTAAGGACTTGCATTTATATTCTGCCTACAAAGCAAAACCTGAAAAGTGATGTTGAAAACTCATGGTTTACTACCATAATGGTGCGAATGACAAACAAGTCCAGATTTCAGATATTTATTACAAATGATGTCAACACCCCATTGATCCATTGAAGAGCACAAAGATGTACTAACTGTGGGCAACAGTAATGCAACCGCAGTGTTCGTCGGCCGTACTGTAGGTACTGTATGTGACAGCACACTCTGCCTGCTTGAGCTCTGGAACACAACTGCTGCCTTACATTTTGTACAAACATAAGGGTAGTCGTTGATGCCCTTGGCTCCCATTGTGATGTGGCAAATGTGAGCGCTAACTGTCAGACTGTCAGATTATTGGCTGAAGGTCTGCAGGACACACCTAGTTAGAGAGGGAGCTACGGCATCAAACCGTGCAAAGGAAGTGTGTGGTGACACCCGTCTGGCAGCAGCACAAATGTAAGCAGCGAGCAGAGCCTGGCTTCACGGCACCACATGTGGACAAAGATGGACATCACAGTCACATTAATTCATGCTTATCGCCTTGTGTCTGGATTTAGGACTTGGTGGATCGTTAATAATTGCATGGCAATAACCCGGACGCGGTGCCAGTCCATCACAGGGCACACACTACATTTATGCCGATGGGGAGTTTGGTAACTAGCATGTTTAGCATGTTTTTGGACTGTGGGGGGAAACCAGAGAACCTGGCAGAAACTCCACGGCAACACAGGGAGGTGCCCCAACCCCCATTCACACATACATGGATGGCTGAAGCACAGTCATACCACCCAGCTCTAACCCCACCCGAGCAGGCCTGCCAGTCTGTGGGCACAGTGCCTCCTCTGTCCATCCACCCAGCTCTAACCCCACCCGAGCAGGCCTGCCAGTCTGTGGGTCCAGGACCTCCTCTCTCTATCCACTCAGCTCTAACCTCACCCGAGCAGGCCTGCCAGTCTGTGGGCACAGTGCCTCCTCTCTCCATCCATTCAGCTCTAACCCCACCTGAGCAGGCCTGCCAGTCTGTGGGCACAGTGCCTTCTCTGTCCATCCACCCAGATCTAAACCCAGGCCTGCCAGTTTGTAGACACAGTGTTGCCTCTCTCCATCCACTTAGCGATATCTCTGCCCAGTTGGCTGTGCAAACGAACAGGTCCCAGGCCACTACATGTATGTCTGCGTGACAACTTGTTTCAGTTAATTTGCACAAGGGTGTATAGTAAAGATCCAGCTCTTTGTTACTGGGCCGTGCAATCATTAAAGTACAAGAAAGTAGAAGTGACGTCTTTTTCAAAAGAATGGACATCAAAAAACTTGTCATTTATTGCAAATTTCACAGGACATGAGAATCCTTATTACAAAATGGTGCCTGCTGGTATGGTGAACAATCGGCCGTGCCTGGTAAACGTGGCATAGGCTCTATGCCATAGGGGTACGGGAGAACAAAAGGAGATGCCACTGACTCACTCCTCACCAGACCAGGAGGCACAGAGAGCTGCCTCAGCAGCCGGCTTCTGAATCATGAGTCTGATTGCAGTGCTCAGGTTACACCATTGGGACCCAACAGACAACGCCTGTCTGCGTACTTGGAGAAGGAACCCAAGCCTGGACCTGTCGAAGGGTGCTGCAATCGTACCTGATAATAGAGTCTGATGCTCTGTTGAAGAGCCTCCTTTCCTCAAGTCTGTGGAAAATCTTTTACCTCTAGGTAGGATAAGCATGTGCCACCTCTGTCTTCCTTAGTGGTGTTTACTCCTTGCCTGCTGTTAACAGATTGACTTTAGGCAGAATGACTGTTCTTGTACCAGTAATTGAGACTCTTGTACAGAGGTGGAAAGGTGCCGAGATCATCACAAGAAGGGAGCTTCTCAAGACCCATCCATCACTGTGCTAATCCTGTCACTGAACCATGCGGCACTGTGAGCTTGTGGGCCTGATGACGTAAGGGTCAGTCCTCAGGGAGTCTGTCTGCGTCAGCCGGAGAAGTGATGTCCTGTCGATGTTTGGAAGAATCACTGTTTGGGTCTGAAACCACACAAATTTGCAATTTCTCAAAAGGAACATCTTCTTGGCTTCGGAACATTGGAAAGTATGTGAACTTTCGCAACAGGATGATCAAAGGAAATTGGCTATTAAGACTTAATAGCTAGATTTCATTAAAAGCATAAACATAAGAAATATAAAGTGTGAACAAAAGCACCAACCAAAGGTGCTTGACAAACAAGTATCAAGTAAGAAAATGACCAGTCTTGCTAATTAGACTTTGTGTTAATCAATAGTTTCTTTACCCTTCATTTCCCTACATGGAGTCACATGCTTCGACTTCTGCAAGCCTCCCAATCTGATGGTAACTGGGGGCGCAGACCCTTCTGTGAGGCCGCCGGATCAATATGTGGCTAGTCGTCTAGTGGCCGACCTGCATGGTCACTGCATCACAGTGCCATACGTAGCCATCTACAAACAGCTGGGCCAGATCTTGGCCAAGGACACTGTAAGCTACTGCCTAGACTGGTTGAAAGTGTTGGTTTCTTGTTAAGGGAAAAAAACAATAATTAAAGAGACACTGATTGCTATCTACCTCTACTGGTTCTTGCCAAATCAGTGTGTAATCAGGGTCACAGGCTCTCTTCTTCCTAGAGTATTTGACTCACTCAGTCTGGATGGCCTAAAATACTGTACAACCTAATAAAGTAGTGCCTAGCTCTTAAAAAAGTATACTTCTGGCTGAAACTCTGTTAAATTGCCTACAAGTAGATCTTTACTTTATTTCCAGTTGAGCCAAAGCAGACTATTTGGCATAGCAGTTCAACAGCAAATGCAAACTAAAAGCAGTTCAGAGAACCAACTTTGTGTTGTTGTTGCAGCCTTCTGTATATATATTTTCATGAGCTTGTGTGCATGTATAAGTGATGTACTGTGTCTGTGTCCTGGAATGGAGTATTGTTTGTCAGTAGTGAACAGAAACACTGAGCACTGACTGTGTTGAGAGTTGTCCTTCTTGTGGATGAAGGTGCTGAAACTCTGGGATATCCAAGTCAGAGTTGCTTCAGGACCCTGCCACTGAAGTTCCTCTGCGTGGGGGTCTTCGCTTCCTTGGATCTGCTGCCTAAGCCTAACCCTAACCCTAATCCTAACCTGGAACATCTGAGCTCTAAGGGGGCGTGTCCCCTCACCATGGTGCCCCCATCTGCTGTGCCCTCTACAACCCCTTCCTGAAGCAGGTCAGCTCTGTACATTCTAGTATGTTCTAATAGACATGGCAGAAGCTGGACTGCTTTGTCATTTGTATAAAACAATGTTTCCCAACCCAGTCCTCAGGAATGCCCAGCCAGTCCACATTTTTGTTCCTTCCCATCTCCCTGCCATACAGTCCACATTTTTGCTCCCTCCCAAAATGTTGGCTGTCTGGGGACCCCAGAGGACTGAGTTGAGAAACACTGGTATAAGAGACCAATATATCTGTTCTTCTCAGGTGGTGACATGGTGTAGGACCTCCACCATCTGTGTGTGGGATGTAGCACAGCAAAGCATCTGCAGATGTGCAATGCCCACAGACAAGAAGAGATCACCTGCATGACCTTTGACCCCTCATTTCCCTGACTTGTTACTGAGGTGTGCAATGGCACCATCAAAGCAAAAATACAATTATATGGTGTAACATCTAGATAATTAGTTGGTGCAACAGTTTTGTGTAGATGTATAGTTTAGGACGGGGCTATTCAAATCACGATCCTCAAGGTCTGAGCACTGTTTTGCCTGTGAACCAGGTGCAAAGCCTCTGTGGGAATCAGAATCAGTAATTATTAAACTATCTACCTGGAAAAACTGAAAATAAGGCCTGGATTTGGAATCGAGGTCCAGATTTGGTCTAGGAGGACAAGCAAAATAACTGAAAAGTACTTAATATCTGTAACTGCAACTCATTTTTTTCCAGTGATCTGTTAGAGCTGCTGTGTTCTTGGGCTTCGTTTTTGCAGGTGTAGAACATGCTAAATGGCCATAAAACTCACAAGCTTGAAGCCACGGTTGAGGCTGAGGTCACAGGTGTTGTGTGTCTCCAGAGCAACAAGATTCTGGCAGTCAGCTGGAGTTGGAATATAACGCAGTACAATATTGCTGACTCTAATGTGCGAGCCATTCAATATTTTTTATGGCATCTGCAGAACAGTACATTTGAAATTTCATAGTTTTTTGTCTTTATTATTTAATGAAACCACACATAATCAGTTTGTTCCTTTTCTTAATGCAAAAAAGTCTGGAAGCAATACGAGAAAGACCATTTTTTTGTATCAGGCTACAAGATGAAAATGACCCCACAGTGTATTATTTCATTAAACTGTATTTCATTCTCTATTGTAGTCTGGATTTTGGTTTTGTGGCTGCATTTCCAACAATATTATTCCACAATACAGTGCATTTTAACCAATTCCAAACCGGGCAGAACGTAAGACACGCTGGGGAGAGTGTAACTATGTGGATGCTGTGCCATCTATGTGCCTGCAGACACATTCTGGAAGTCTGGCCAGCTGCACAGAGAAGCTACCCTGGCTATGGATCATTGTCTAGCCTGGGTCCTATTGGCCACCGCTAGTTTTGATGGGGAGGTCATCTTATATAGCCTAGACCAGGGGTCTCCAACTCCGGTCCTGGAGAGCTTCTATCCAGTAGGTTTTCTGTCCCTCTTGGCTTCTGATGAGCCACACCTGTTCCTGGTATTTACCTGAGAAGAGGTGTGGCTCATCAGAAGCCAGGTAGGATAGAAAACCTACTGGACGGTAGCTCTCCAGGACCGGAGTTGGAGACCCCTGGCCTAGACACTCAGAAACCTTTTGTCCACATACGGTCCCCTTCTAGGTAACCTAATATTGAAAATTGATAGTTGATTTTTGATTGAATGTTTTGACTTGTAGTGTTTCAATGTGGATGCATACTAGCCATTTAAATAACTAGTCACGAATGGGGATGGAATGGTGGCTCAGTGCAGGGGGGCCATAAAGGGGGAAGGACAGATAGGATGGTTCCAAGGGCCCCTGAGCGACAGGGGCCCTAAAAAATTTGGAACATTACATAATTGTCCTGCATTGGGGGCCCAATATGATATGCTTTCACGGGACCCAAAATCTCTAACGACACCCTTGGCTCAGTGGATAGAGTTATTGCCTCAAACATTCATGGCTGATTCTGGCTATATGTGTTGGTTTTCTCTGTGTTAAAGGGGATTTTCTCCCTGAACTCAAAAACATGTGGCTCTGATGAAACTGTGACTTTCATTTGCTCTTTGTATGTGTGAGCACCCAACCCTCCATAAACAGGCCCAGGAACACCACAACCCTGACTTGGATACATGGCTGTTGAAAATGAGTGGATGGAAACTATCAATAAAGTACCAGACAGCCATTGTTTTCTGCCACTTCATTAAAACACACATTAAAACAGCAGCTCACAGCATATAATTGCTTGCAGTCGATATCTGTTTGGGTAAATTAGCCTAGCTTGCATGGGCTAATTAGATAGCATAAGGGGTCTGGGGCTGGAACACACCCAGAGCCGTGTCGAGTGTTTATGTCGAGGTCTGCTTTGCTGAAACTGCTCACAGCACCATTTCCAGCCAAGCCTGCATTACATAAAATATTTAAGCTTTATGCCTGCAAGCCAGACAAATCATTTTAAAAACTGTGAATATATTAGAACAAGAAACACTGCTGGCCATTAATGTTATGGATATGAAAATGCGGAGGTAAACTGAGCGTGATCCCCACTTCTATTAATATATGTCTGCATTTCGGGAAGCTGGTTGAGTTCCCTCTCCTTAAACAGTACTGTGTGTCCCACCTACAGGTCACATGCTGGTACTGCAGAAGGTAGGGACGCTAAGCAGGATTGCTCTTGGATCACCTCTCAACACAGAATCACACACCCTTGGGGGGAAGAGTAAAGGGGCAGGTGTAGGGGGCCATACGCGACTCTAGGCTTTTCATTGCGTGCAACATGAGAGAGCCCAACTAGTTATTCAAGTAAAAAAATAAATTTGTAAATACATTTACAATATGTTGCTAATACATATTTTCAAATATGACTTTATAATATAATAAAATTTTATTGAACTTGAATATGTTCAAATCGCATCTTCATCTGACCAGTAGGGGGTGCAATTGTACCCACTGCACCCCTTGTAAAATTGGCTATGATGCAGGCATTTGAATAAATGGTCAAGGTGTGTGTGCTTCCAGGGTGCCGTCCTACAGTATGTGAACAAGCTACTCAACCTGAAGCGGCAGGCACTCAGCCGTCGCCGGCAGAGCCGGGTAGTCCTTGTCAGTCCAGAGGGCGGCCATCTTCGCTGGCGGAGCGTTGCCGGGCTGCGACGCAAACACAGTAACCTGTGGTGGCAGGCAGAGCTGTGACAAAGCTGCCCTGGGTCATGTTAATGCAGCCGGCCCGGCGCGGCTGAACAAACCGCAAGCAGTGTGGCGTTATGACTGGATGCACGTGGGAAAGCTTTGTTGTGCATCATCTGCCCAAAAGTAGTGTTTTGAATCATAGCCGTATTCATTGAGTGATGTCATCTGTTGCACCAATTGCAATGTCTGGCAGTCATGGGGGGTAGGAGACGTCGTCTGACTGCTAATGGCCAAGTTTCCGTTGATAGGGCACTTCTATGCCCCAGAAGCTCCTGCCGTCTGGAGATACCTCTGGTTCCATCCCGGTGTGGGATGTCTCATGGTTTGCTTATGGAATCATGGATTGTGTGAGAAAGCAAAGTTTGTAGCTGGCGGGGGGCGGGGGAGAGACAGCCCCTCTATTGATGTACCGTGACACCTAAATGCATTTTTACTGCCTTATTCATTTATTCATACAGCAGTGAGGAGGTCAGACCTCCTGGCAAATGCTTAAACCTGCCGCTCTGTGCTGAAAAATGATAACATGGGCTTGGAATGAGTGTGGCTGTTCCTTAACGCACCATTGATGTGTAGGCATTTCGTCTGGTCCTCCGCAGCTGGCCGACGAGCACCCAACCCCCCCCTCCCCCCGCTGCTGCACCGGTGGAAGGCTCACGACGGGCCGCTAGTAACCGCCGAGCTCCTCGCCATCGACACACGGCTGTTTCTCACCAGCGCCTCCGTGGACCAGACTGTGCAGTTGTGGCGTGCAGACGGCCGCTACATGGGTGCCTTTGGACAGGAACGCGAGTGGGAGGGATCTGCGGGAGCCCGGGTCTTATCAGCACCCAAGGTAGTGATTTTCCTCTTCTGGAGTCATCATCTTCTGCCGTGAACTAGTGCCGCGTAACAGTACCTGTCAGCTTATAGCTTCTAGTAAAAATTCTAATTCAAAGATTTCCTCAGGTAGCTGAAGCAGGGGTATAGGAACTAAGGAAGATGTGTACCCCTCCACCCAATGTTTAGTTTGTCCCCATCTAATAAATAGACCTTTGCATTTAAATTATGGCAGTAAGTGGATGTAGCAGGAGGAGACCAGGAATAAATATATTTACATATGTATATGTGTGGGTTATACCCTAGTAATAACCTAGTGCTTTGCCAGACAGTAGTTTGCTAGGACTGGTCAGAAAGGACACGGCCGCACTGGACTTGACCTCCGTGGGAGTGACAGCCATCTCAGGCTTCTCAGCGAATGGCAGCCAACACTCTCGGTACCGCTTCCCGGGAAGCTGAATCAAAGAGGTCGGAGGCGCAGCTGCGGTTTCCAGGCCCACAATAATTGTGGTTAAGCGGATCCAGATGTGAGAGGATGTCAGGAAGGTTACCCTCGGTTGACCAGCCGCCGGTCCACCCGCATCGCTGTTCCTCCCGGATTACATGGAAATTCCCACCCTTGCCTCCGTTCTCCCGTGTCATTCCACCCATAGAAAAATAATCTATATGGATTGTGAGGGTACCATCCTCACGGGTGTTCTCTCCAGACACTGACTGTGCCAGCCGGTAAAGCAGGCCTCAACGCTCGGCACTGGGCAAAATGAACTCCCAAGTGCGACAGCGGTATTGTACCCATTTTTAGCACAGTACAGCATCACCAGCGCTCTCTGTTTAGAGTATAAGAATGTTCCTTGTTTATTGTTAAAGCTATTTAAGCATTTAACTCATGACCTGTGGTTTGGCAAACTACGAGGGCTTAATAGGGGCGTTGCCAGTTCCTCTCCAGTGCTGCTAATGCAATGAAAATGGCAGCAGTAATAACAGAGGTTCTGTCTTCAGTAAAGCGCTGCCTTGTAGCTCTGCCACTTGAAACCTCGAGATCACAGAGGACAATAATGTGGACCATCAGTGGATGGGCTAGAGGCTCCCTTCCCCTAATCACTGCCACACCCCACAGAGACCCTGGGGCAGCGAGGCAGGCGCGGCAGAGGAGGGAACTGGAGGTGGCCGATTACAGGGTGGCGAGGCTGCAGCAGAGCCAGCCGGCTCCGGTCAGGGGCCTGGGAAGGGAAGCCAGACGAGGGCCGGCTACAGAGAGGAAGCACTTCCGTGGGACTCAGGTACAGGCACGCGGTGACAGTGTGTTCCAGAACACGGCACGATACAAAGAGCGACAGTGAGCCGCTCCGCGTTTCTGCCTCAGCCACCCGTAACGGAACTCACGCCATTACATCTCAGTGTCCCAAGGGTAAAGGACTCATTCATTCACGGCTCTTTTTATTTACAACAAAGCCATACTATCCTTATCCTGGAGAAAGTTCTGGAAACTTTATTATAACATTATACTTTAATGGGTTGTCTCTTAAATGAAAACAAAGTTGGAACAAAGAGACATTGAGGATGAATTTTAAGCTGCAGTGAGTGTCAGAATGAATGAGCAAGCTGACAAACCTCTGACATGAGACTGATTACTAGGTGGAAGGACAGGTTGGTCTTAAACACATTATTAATAAAAGCGTTAAGGGCTCATCCGAAAAAAGGACAATGCTGCCTTTGAAATGCTTTGGCTTAATCCATTAGGTGGTTCAACATTTTCTGTCTTATTTTTCGCACAACTCGACATCTGCATGCAATATAGACAGAACCGAAAGTGCTGTGAGAAATGGCAGGGATCAGAGGGCTCTGTCAGCGTCGATGCAATGTGGCCGACAGCTGGAGATGTGAGGGATGAAGGTGGGGGCTGAGCTGGGAACCCCCTCACTGGCCATCCAAACCACCCAGTTTAGCCCTGCATAGGCCAGCCTGCTTTGGTACACACCCAGCCACACAGGAAATGCCGACGGCACGCTGTCACGCGCACGCACACACACACACACGCACTTCCCATTAACTGCGCCAACAGGCTGTTTGCATGCAGTCTGGACCTGCTGTCGCAATTTGTTTGTTGACACGTTTGGTGTCTTTGCATCCATTTGCACAGCTGCTGGGAGCATTGAGAAAAATGAACGATGTCACGGAGAATTAAAACCCGGCCTGTCGCATCCTTGTGGCAAAACCCACCAATGAGAGACAGAAAGCGACGGAGACAGTGACTACATCCTTTGTTTCTGTATCAGATTTTCCTTCCTTTCATATTTCACCAAAAACACAACAATAGCCAAATGAAAGTTTACAAGCAAGTGTATATTTTGGAAACCGGAGATAAAAACTCCAGTTCTTTTGTAGAAAACATCTTGATGAAAGAATTTTTATTGTAAGTTGAGCTGTATAGTTGAAGACTCCCCTCTTCTCCAGTGGATGCTTGATTCCCTGTTCAGACCAAAACAAGCTGTCAGCTGCCATTCTATGGAAGCAGTGCAGACACCGGGATCCTCACGCAGTCTAGATGCTGTATGGAGAGAAACTGATGTCTCTTGTCTCCGGATAACATTGTCTGACAGGGAGATAATGCAGTCCACTCTCTTAATTTATTTCAACAGAAGGCATCGTCCAAAATGACTTTCTTAGAATTGATTTTAAATCTAAATATTTTAGCTACCAGAGCTTAAAAAACCTCTGGGGGGTCCAAGATCAACTGGCTGGCCAACCCCCCTGCGCATACTAACATTACTGAAAACAGAAAAGAGTGTACTTGCTTGCTAAAAGCTAGGTGAAGCTGTGATTAAGGATCAAGACAAAGTCCATCGATGAGTCTGTTATCCACGTTGGTCTGTGTAGGGCGGCACTGAAGAATGTACCCATGATGTTACAGTTCATAGGTCACATCCACAATGTCACCTTTCCATGGGACTGAACCGAGACTCCAGCTCAGATGGTGCCCAGCCCGGCACCACATGGAAATACCTCCAGAACCCAGAATCCCATCAGACAGCATCATCCAAGAACCAAACGCAAAGGTCAGGCTCTCATCGTAAATGTAAATCTTATTACTCTAGATCGTCGGGGTACTTGACATTTACACTACTCAGATATTTTACTGATGTGCATCTTTGGGCAGCTCTGAGATCTTAGCTTTATGTTCCCTTTGCAAGCTTACAGCGTTTCTCTTGTGCTGCATGGATGCTGTGTCTCCCAGGTAGGGCTGGGGCTGCAGGTGGCAGAGGGTCTGCAAAGGAGGTTAGCCGGCAGGCGGGAGAGACGCCTGACTTTTGGGGATATAGACACCAGCAAGCTGCCCCACAATAGTGGGGTCTGCACTCCATTCCAGGTCCTGGTAACTCACTCTACTGAACATGCCGGCGTTCAAACTCTCACACAATGGGCTGTGTATTTCATCCCAAAGATAGATCAGTCTTCAACTGTTATACATAAAGAACTCCTATCTTTCCCAATTACTAGAGGAACCTCATTTAGAACATCAGTACCCAACATATTCTGGTTATTGCCAATACCATGCATAATTTAAATCTTGTACATTATTTACTTAAGATGCTCAATGAGTAGCAGTATTGCCATACAGCTTCAGGATTGAAGATTTAAATCTTCTATTTCATCAAAATATGCCTTGTAATGCACTGGCATCCATAATATTAGCTTAAAAATCTTCATTATTTTACACAGTTTATGTGCTGATAAAGGCTATTTATCACTGGACTGCCGTGTTGTGGGAATATTTGAAACAGTCTGATGAATTACTGAACATTTAATGGCAGATGCAGAAATCCATACGATTATGTGCCGCTCCTTGATGTCATACTTGAGCTGTTTTATTTTGGGCCTGGAGATAAAGCCAGCTGTCATAGGACCCTATAGATGTGGTGTACGTCATATGCTGTGCGTTACTATGCCTGCTTGAGATGTACAGGCTATTTGCGCCAGTCAGTCACCTACTGTACAATAGGCATGCGTCTGGAACAGCGAGAGGTGTCGATAGCCTGGGATAGCTGAAAATGGGAAGGGAGGGGGGGGGACTTTAAAGGAGTGAATGTTAGAGATTTAGGAGGCGTTTACCGTGCCATTACCAAACCAAAGTTGCTTTGCTTTGATCTTCTAGAGTAATCAAAACCAAAGATTGTTATTGTTTTAGAAATATGCGTGTAAATATGGGCACCACATAGCTGAAGCGTGCAAAAAGAACAGCAGCCGATAGTCTTTTTTTAAATAGTCTTTTTTTAAATGTCTGCTTTTGCCAGGAACGACCTGTACATGTGAGGATACAGCCGGGGGACTTGGAGTGACTCATTGTGGTCTGTATCTGAAAGCGTGCTGGCATTGCGTAAACAACACAAAAACAAGAGCCTCCCACACCGAGTCAGAGGGCACCGCGAGACGCGGGGAACAAAATGCACAGGCTCATTTTGACTTTGAGACAAAAAGAATTAAAAAAAAAACAATAACAAGATGTCTGTCTTTCTTTCCCTCCACCCCTCAGCCAGGACCTACAGCTGCCCTGCATATTACCCATGACCCCTTAGATGCCAAGATAAGGCAAGAAAGACCAAGACCTGTTATCCTTACTGGTGTCTGGCCAGGGTTCCAATATGACCCAGGCAGACGACAGTGAGGTCCTCAGCCTGTGACTGCAGTGTCTGCAAAAACTGCAGCCACACTAGCCTGATCTCACCTCCAAAAAAGGACGTATTAAAGCAGACTGTGGTTGTGTCCATATGCTTGTCAAAGACCTCCTGGTTTATCCTGCTTTAACCATAGCAGTTGGAACGTTTAACCATAGCGTGGAATAGGAACCTCTGCAATTCTGTGCACCTAGAAGGACCTACTGTAAGTACCAGCATATCAGGAAAAACAAGAAAAAATGGTAATTTAGTTAGTAAAACAAAATCTGTCTTTTATTGATCAGTCCAACTACTGTATACAAATCAACTGTGTAATCAAGAGCACACTGACAAAAGCTATATTACTGTTTTTTGTTAAATTATTTCTGTGAAAAAAAAAAATTGATTCTTTGTGTTCAGGAATAAAATGTGCAAATGTTCCTTCAAACTGGCATTAAAACTGTTAGACGATATTCTGTTTAGTGAGACACAAAGTTCTCTTTTGTGTACAAGAACACTATAAAGAGTTTGAGGACATTGCAGAAGACACAAATACAATATTGCACTTTCACGTTTTGACTAGTATTTGAACCCATAGCCATTCACAAAGTTGTCAAAACCCCTCACCACTGCGTTACCCACAAGTGTGCAGCGAGGGCCGTGGGCATCTGAGCCGCCAGCACAGTGTGCCGCCCCCAGCCACTTTCTACCCACGCTGCACCAGGGGCCTTGTCCACATGCACGACCTCATCGGGCTTCCACACTGACACACGCCAATTAGGAGCATCTGATTTCAGTGGCTGTTCCCGATTTAAAACCAAATATGCTGTTTGCCGCCGCCTGGCTGAAAGAATCCCGCGGCCAAACCACACTCTGGAACGGGGAAAACAACTGGTCAGAAGTTTATCTTTTCATATGATAAACTCTTAAATTGTACCTTCAAATTATAGATAATACTCATCAGTAATGTTCAAGCAATATTTGAAAAATTGTATGTGCGTATGTATATGCTGTTATGAAATGTCCAGTTACAAATTATGTATTTAGAAATATAGAGTATACATATCACCGTTGGGTACCTGAGTAAGGCCTTTAACTCCAGCTGCTCTGTCAGTGCTGAATAAATGGCTCACCCTACACTCTGACCCCAAGCCTAACTTCACCTACATATCTGTATCTCATAGGAGATAGGATACGCATGGATTGAATTACATTGTAGTCGATATACAATGACACCCAAAGCGTTCTATTGTAGACAGCTGTCAGGTAGACCTTTTTTTTTCTCGCACTGTGCTTTCCCTCCAGATCTCTTTCTCATGACGTCATGTGACGGAAAAAAGAGCAGCGTCTCAGACACACACCCCGAAAATCTCCATCTCGAAATGCAAAAAGCATTTATGAATTTATGCTCATTCCAATCAGACATAATTACATAGCTGTTATTCTCAAACCATGTTCATGGCAGTTAAAGCATTTTAAAGGGATAGCTTAGAACCCCGTTTAAAGGATATGTAAGAATTAATATGACTTTTGACTTTTGATATTCTGTCTTTGGTTCCAGCAGGCTTTTAACACGGAACAGATTGTGGTGACTGTGTGCTTGTTTTAAAATATGTTGCAGCATTTAAAAGGTGGAAAATAAAAAAAAACTAAGGGATTACAAGGACAACAACCTGAATTCCTTATCAGAAACTGTTGCAATAATAAAGCACACATTCTTTCTGGTACAATGTTTACGAGGGGATGTCATGATAACCTTAAGGTAAAAATGACCTGTCACATAGATAGCAAATGTGTTCACTCAGAAAATGTTGTTAAATACAGAGAGTGTACACTGTACTTTTATGTCTAAGATACTGCTAGGCAGAAAGGATTATTTTTTGCTAGCAAGGACCTCAAGAAGATTTATTGCAACAGGATGTCCAACTGAATTATGTTTCATAATATACCTATTAATGGGGAAATTCAAAAGGCTCTAGGTTAAAAAAAAAAAAAACAGTTATTACTGAAAAATGATTCCTCATTAAAGGCAAAACTGCATTCCTTACTCAAAACATTCACTGCTTAGGTTGTTTCCAACTGATATTATTCAGAATTGGCCCCTACCTGCTCCAAAGCTATGTCAGTTTTTTTAAATAATCTACAACTGCAATGCCTGTACATCAAAAGAACATGGTTGGTGAAAATAGTTAAAGTCCATATGCATTCAATCATTAATTGTATATTAATTTATTATGCTAACAAATTTTAATGTTAAGAAATCTTAGGGTTGTTTCTTGTACAACTGTGAGACTTGCTAAAAATAGTAATGATCTAGTTAGGCATTTTTGGAATACTGAGTTAGCCTGTATTTAATGCACCTTGGTACTTCTACCCCACACAAGTCCAACTAAAAGCTCTAAAAACACACTCTGCTCCAACACATGCTTTTGCTCAACACGCCCAAATACAGCAGTGAATGTTCCAAAATACCATAGTAACACCACAGACGGACGCTAGGAAACAGCAAACCTATTTCTCATCCTCTGTCTAGAAACACTGACAACCCACTGAGCACGGGATAGTTTCTGAAACCCGCGAAAGATGAAGCTGTAATCTATACCAGGAAATGTGAAGTGTGATATTTACAGGTAAGAAATGAAGACTGAGGAGGGGTGAAGAGTTTGTGGGCCGTCCCTCTCTCGCCGCTGGCTCGTAGCGCGTCTGGGGGCTGTGTCTACGGGGAAGTGGGAAGGTGCATCTGGAGTAGTGCCGGGGGGGGGGGGGGGGGGGCTGCCTCTGTCGGTTCAGTCTGGCAGCACCGCAGCAGCAGCGCTCCACGCCAGATCGGGAGGAATGCGAACGGGGGAGACGCGGCCAGACGACTCTCGGCACCGACCATGTGGATGAGAAGAGACAGGCAGCTGATGGCCGTCACCCTGGCCACTGTCTTCGCGGCCGATGTCTACTTTGTGCTCTTACCCAGGCTGCGGGAGAGATACGCCTTGGACGCGCAGGGATGCCCGTGCCTGGAAGTGACTGGAGGCAACAGCAGCCGTGCCGACGTTCCCGCGACCCCATGGCTGTCCAACGCCTCCATGCCGCCGGCCAACATGCCGGAAGCACTGGGGGTCACGTCCATCTCCTCGGAGACCGGAGGCGAGGAACGGGCACCCAAGCTGGAGAGGCTTTTCACCCATCCTCTCTACAACTTTCAAAGCCCTAATCTTGGAGAAGAAGGTGTCCTGCTGCAGCCAGAGGAGCTAATGAGCCACTACAGGAGGAAGGTGTCTCGCTGGGAAAGGTAAGAGCAGCAGGTTCCTTCCACACCTCTCCAACATCGAAGCCATCGTTCAGGAGTCACTGCGACAATATAACGTAATTAAATAATGACTATGTCCTAATATAAACAGAAAATACTACACGGTTCCATTGTTTTTCTTTTATTTCGCTTTTGCTTGGTTAATCTGTGGCCATTTTGGCCAGATCTCCTGGAAAAAAAAAACAAAATTTTTGACTTCAAGAGAATAATTTGAAAATATAGAAGTTAAATTTAACAATGTTCAAAATATACATAGAAGTACTTTTGAGGTCTATTACAATCATTTTCAAGAATGTGAAGGTGAGGACCAGTTTTATAACACTGTAACAAGGCTAGAATCTCCTCCAATAAGCTGCACGCAAGATTTGTTTGTGAGATCTGGACTTTGTAGAGCCATAACTGTTTGTGAAGGTCAGTGACTGCTGGTGGAGTTTATCCCTTATTTTGCCGCGATCCTGTTGTATCCTGTATCGATGGAGAGCAGGGAGATCAGCACATAGGACAGGGCCCTTCAGAGCAGACCAGCTTCCGTGTAGATCAGTATCCCTTCCCGTACAGGTATCCAGAAGATTCTCTCAGAAACAGTTTACCATCTGCTGCCCTTCAGATCCCAGTATGTCTCTATTACAACATGTATTGCGGGGCACAAGAGCATAATATTTCATATCAGCCATAACCTTGTTACAGATTTAAATAAGGGTTACATGCTATAATAATTTCCCTTTCAACTAACTTACATTTATATAATTAAACATGGCAACATGGCCAGGTAGATTATTGTGCGAGAGTTAAAGAATAGCAAAGAGTTAATATAATCCGAGTATCAGTCAACTTATAATTAGGCTGGATATGCACCTGAAATTTAAGGTATCTTACAGTAGTATAAAATAGCACATAATCTACTGGAAGCATAAGGTTTTACTGTAATGATAATGAAGAGGAAAATTATGCTCTCATGGTTAAATTCGCGCACACAGTCGGTGCCCCCGGGGAGGAACGCTGCCAACTGTCGCAACAGCTTATTAAAATGACGAGAACATCGGGCTGAACTGGCTAAAAAGTCCTGCAACTCAGCTGTTGTCACATTAATGCAGAAGAATCACTCGCGTTACAGAGCCACGTGGGGCCGATAGCGGGCAGGTGGGCCACTCGGATGTCCGGCATAGCCCTCCTCAGGCCAGCCCCCCCACTCTGCCTGTCTGCTCGGCTTCACTGAGGAGACACCTAAAGTAGGCCGCACCGCACAGCCCTCCCTCTGGTCTGTGGCCTGCGGTGAAAAGCCCTGATTGCCTGGCCTGAGCGGCGATGAGGGGCTGCGGTAAGGAGCACAAGAGCACCTCACGTGTCCTTCCTCCCCAAAACCACCAGCAGGGATGGAGAAATGATAGCCACGGCCAGCCGGTAGATCAACAAACACTGCTACGAAAAAAAAACTCTGGTACATGTGGCCCTTGGACTGCTGATTTCAGTGTTTATGTAACACACCGAAACACCCGTGCAGTGCAGTGCAGTGCTGGCAGAGAGGGGAAGCTTTTACAGGGGAAAACAAGCTCGGTGAGACCATCCTGTTTACACTCATGCGTGGGCTCCGGCCTGGAGCGCTGCCATCTTAAAAATGCCTTTCATCGAAAAATAATCGATGATCGACTGGTCCAGTTTTTTGATTTTCTCGTTTACTTTGCTGAGATGTAGCATTTGTCACAAGCAGCAGGTCAGCGGGCGGGGAAGGGGCGAGTGGTGACGTCTTGCCGAATTTGCGTCGCATTCACGTCCGCAGCTCTTGAATGCGATGGCCCATTTGTGCCAGAGAACCCTAGCATTTGGTGACTCACCTTTCTTTTAAATATCACTGGCCGTCTTTAATGAGCCGCTTGTAAGTGCCGGTCTGCGGTTCATCGGCACGCCTCCGGTGATAACTACAGGTGACATATAATTAAGACGCCATTTTCACCGGTGGCAGCCAGGGTGGCTGTTGACGGATTTAGCAAGCCGCCTCAGTGTGGGCTGTTACTCAACAAACTTCAAGTGGCAAACAGCAAATGTACATAGCAGAGGAACTGTGGAGGTAAACGTTCAACACAGAGAACCTTAAGAAAACTGAACATGCATTGTTTTATATTTTCCTCCCCTATTCAGACATCAGAGATACTACAATGAAGCTGCCGCAGCCTCCAACATCTCTTTACTCAGACATGAGGTTACATTTGACCCAGAAGCTAGCTGGCTCAAGTTCCATTTGGGGATTAACCGCTATGCCCTGTATGCCCGTGATGAACCCAGCATTGACCAGCTGCTCCAGGACATGCACAGTGCTGCTATAATTGGTGCAGGTATGTCAGCATGGTTATCAGGAGGCAAACGCATCAATGAGCGGTGAATCATGTCAGAGGAGACGGATCAGATTTACCATTTGTTTGAGCATGCAAAACTACAAAACTTGAAATTTAAACGTGAAAAAATGGAGTGGACTCTAAAAGGAGCCTTGGAGAACCTTAATACAGATGTAGTGTTCTTAGGTAAGCCTAATTACATAAAGGCACTGGGAAAACAGAACGTACAAAGGCTCTTTAACATCACTATTGGGATATGCAACTGAGCAGCAAACTGTCTCATAGGTCTTAGGACATGAAGTCAAGAAATAGTGCTGTAATACCATAAATACAAAGGGCTAGTATGGAGTAAATAAGCACATAATCTTAGATTGAACAGCATTTGATCAAAGAGATTAAACAGGAATAATAAAAATGAAAAAGACTGATAGTTTGCAAACACAGAGAGGGATCATAATCGGAAACACTCTCATGTAGAACATGTAGGAAAGTAAAAAGGTACCAGTCAATAAAAGATATCTTGCGAATGAGAAGAGAACTAGCGGTGAATAGAAAGTATTTTGTTAGCAGACAATCGTAGGAAAGCTAGCAGATGGCAAAGCCCAGGAGGAGGTGCACTAAACCGTGGCTTTGTGGTTGCAATTTGTCTAGCCTTTCAGATAAACATTTGCATAAATGATGTAGAGTGACCGTTCTGTATTTAAAAATACATAATAAACACGTCAATTTGATTTACAGATTACACACAGGATGAGAAAGCTCTCAGAGGAGTATGTGACTGCTCGCAAGGTGAGTTAGTTACCACACTTTCAACTTCATGAATTTACATTTCATTTAGTTCTTTCAGTTCATTTATTCTGCAGACACTTTTGTCCAAAGCAACATATATCCAGCTCTACTACAGGGACTTTGGCCTATTGATAAAAGTAACAAAAGCATGAAAACAGACACAAAATCAATAATGGCACTAGGTCTTGTGCAACATTTCTTTCTATGTGAACTATGGAAATCTTATCCTTCGCATGGTAGTAAAAAACAGACATATTACGATGTACCAAGTGAAGCGTGCCAATAAAGACACAGTGCGGCAATTTAGGATACACAAATAACCCCATAAATTTTTCTAACTCACTCTGCTTAGCAATCACAGCATCCCACTATATGAGGCTTGAGCCTCTTGCTGATGTGGTTAAGACTGCTGCCTTTAGTGTGGGAGAACAAGATTGGCATCTGTTTCGCTTCAGAATGAAATTTCTTATGTTTGCCTGGTCTGTCCTAGAGTACGCCGTAACTCTGGGGGGGGACACTATTCAGTCTACAAACCTTACTACACGGACCTTGACCTCTTGGTGACACATTGGTCATTGGCACTGGAGATCAGGCATAGATGTTCACCATGACTTTCCCAAGATATGTTGAAAACACAGATCAGTGCATGAAATCAGATGTCAGGCTTATGGAAAAATCACCTTCTTTCTCAAATGCTTTCAGGCCCATAAATGGTTATAATTCTTAATTCTTTTGAGGTTTTCTGGACTCACCGTAGCCCATATCCTGGAGGCAGTCACAAATCACTCGTTGACTTTAAAGGGCAGAAATATTTCTGCTTGATAACCGTGTAACAACATGCTGTATTTTGTAACTCTTCTCTCCATGGGCTGGAAAGCGGGTCATCAGCCCTACTAACACAGTCCGCTCCTGTCCCCCAGGAGACAATAATCTCATCATGTACAAAAAGCAACACGCGAGCGCCAATCACACAGAGCCGAGTGTCCATGAGAGCATTCCAGGATTTGTAGCCCCAACACCGCATTCACTCAAACAAAGTCTGTTCCAAACCACAGCTACCTTAAATGCTGCCAAGTGCAAAAAAAAACAAGGAAAAAAAAACTAAACTTTGTTCCCTCCCAGTTCTTCTCAGTTTTTGTGAATTTCATACAAATGCAGAATATCCCCTCAGGAAAACTCAGGAACAACGTGCTTCATGTTTCGCAGGTTCTTTGTGTCTACTTGGTGTATAATTTTCTTTTAAAATGCCACTAAGTCTATAAAGAATTGAACCAAGAGAAGTCAAAAATAAACCAGCCTGGAGGTGAGGGCTGTACAGAAGATATTCTATACGACAATACCAGACAAATTAAGAGACACTTCTTTAACACAAGCAGTTACATAAAAATAACTGCATTCAAATTATCATCCAAAATGCAAACTGCAAGCTTTAACTGAATGTGTTCTGCCTGATTTCTTTTTCCTAGAATCCCAAAAGTGCAGGGATCTGAGGTATTGATAATCTCGGTTGTATATTTAAATATTGAACAAATAAGACATAGGTTTGTCCAGTTTGACTATTCATTCTACCTATTGTAAATGGTAACGTGTGATTCTCAGATGTGTTTTATCTTAACAAACTCTAGTGGTGAAGCCAAGTGGTCACCATCTGAAGCTGGCCTTGAAACTGCAGGACTTTGGCAAGGCCATGTTTAAGCCAATGAGGTGAGACTTATCGCTGGAGTGGAACACCAGGGAAGCTCATTGCTGGGGAGGCGTCTTGGTGGTTAGAGAATGTTGACTGAGCATCAGCACTGGCAGTGTCATTCTGGTCGGGCTTTTTCTAACCCTGTTTCACTTCAGGCAAGCGAGGGAGCAGGAAACACCCGAAGACTTCTTTTATTTTGTTGACTTGCAGAGACACAATGCTGAAATAGCCGCCTTCCACCTGGACAGGTGAGTGCGGCAGCGACACAGCTTGGAGATCCTGTAGTTAGTGACTGTCTGCTCTGACTTTACTTGAGGGGGCACAAATAACTTAGTAACTCAGTCACTAATTAAATACAATAACTTTGCATTGTGCTTCATATCATATTCTCTACTTTTTATATTTCAATATTCATCTGCATCTGCTTTCCCTCTCAGTTTATATTTACTGATAGTGTATTGCACAGATTTGCAATCATTGCACAATTTTATTCAATTCCATTTCTACTTACTCTATTTTTCTTGATTTATGGTCCATGATGTCTGTAAATGTATGTTACAATACTGCTAAAACAAATTCCTAGTACAGGCAGTTGTACCTGGCCAGTATAGTGAATTCTGAATAATCATGAATAAATATAGTTCCTTCCTGAAATACATGAACCATTAGGATTGATAAATGATGAACAAACATGGTATAAGTAGATAACTAACACTTTGTTTCTGGTTAACTAATACATTAAGTAAGAGTGTACTACTACATTAGTAGTGTCCCCTGAAGAAAAGTGTTGCCAACTGTTCTTAACTGTGCGCAGCTGTGAGTTTTCCATGATGTGATCCTGTTATTAATTATTGCTGTCATAAGCCCTGCCCCAGTCCTTAAGTGAGTAATATCTTCTTTAGTAACCCACATATCCATTTCCAACTGCTTATCTAGTTCAGGATCCTGGCTCAGGGGTTCCTGGAGCCTATTCCAATCAGCAAAGTCCACAATGCTGGGAAACGCCCGATGGGGCCCAATGGCAAGCCTACACAATATTGAGAGAACATGCAAACACAGCACTCTTTGGGGATGTCAGGCAATGTGCTGCCCCCTTCAGCAGTAGTAATTTTGTACGTAGTAAGATCTACTGGAAAAGGTTGGCTGTACAGTAGCCCCTTCACATTTACACATTTGACACTCGCCGTTTTGGTTATTCCCAAATTGACCGTGAACAATTAAACAGGAATATTTCTGAGGCTTGCAGAAACTCGCAGGTGACGCGTAAGCCAAAAACAATACTAAAATGGTTTGGATCACATAAAATCAAATATAAATATTAGTACTACATAATATTTGTTAGTGTAAGTCCTTGCTATATCTGTGAATGTTGAGGGGTTACTGTGTTCAGCTCTTTCCATTAAAAGTAATCATTCACAGTACATCTACTTTTTCCTTATACAAGCTTATTTGGGAGTTCACACTGGTGACTCACGTGCTTTATGGACTGTCATCTCAAAAGAAGACAACTCTGTATTACCATTAATTGTTCAGTTATAATCATAAACTTTTCACATGGTTTTTCTTAAAAGGAGATGCCGTACACATACAGTGATTCCTTTCAGGGATCTAATTATCCATTTAATTACGTTTTGTCAGTAACATTCATTGCACCAGCAAGGCTTTAGCAAGTCTTCTCAGAAACATCAGACTTGGGCAACTGTGCAACGCCCATGTTTCGACACATTAGCCTTGCTTAGCTAACAAGCCTTTCATTTCATCAGAGCTGCTTCATCGTCTAGGATTTACACACTCATCCCTCTGCTTGCTCTGACGTGTGTCACACATTAGCCACATGGTAGGGGGTCCGTGCAATAAAACAACAACAAACAATCCCAACACACAAGAACAAAGTGTGTATGTAAAATCTATTCACCAACAGAGAGACAACTTTAATATTACCAAATTCTATTTTCAAACAGCAAGTATGTTAACTGGGTTGGTAAAAGGGATTAGATATGGTGAGTAGGTCTTGTTCCTGAATTTCAGTGGAAGGTGTCTAATCCCAGTGTTTGGTAAAATCAGGTTTAATTGCAGGTGAGCCATGCCAAGCTTTCAGGAACATTCATTAAAGCTCAGTGTGATTATTGTTATTGAGACAGAGTTGAGTGGGGTGCTACAGTGGGGCATCCGGCATGAGTCAGACCGGCAAACTTCAGCTTATACGCCTGTGCCGTGTCCTTAACAACCATACTTTAAATAAAATTAAGCAAAAAAAAAAAGACCAAAACGCAAAGTGTAATGAATATGGCCAATAGACTCTAAATCCTAGTGCAAATCCTGGTGCGAAATAGTGTGGTTGGTGATCTAATGATGAACTCACCCTCTGTGGCTTGCTTTATGAAGGTTTTTCCACAAAACATTTCAGGGTGGTTGCGACAGGACTAGAAGTCGCAATTAATCACTTCAGAAAATCAGTTAATGTCAGAAATCTGTCTTGGCATGGTTCATGATTCATAGTTCACAGTTCACAGCCAGAGACAGCAGGCTGCTGTGGTCTTTCATCTTTCCATGACAGAATAATCGTGAGGCAGCCAGGGAAAGCCAGAAGGTTTCCACAATGACATTTGTGGTTAGAATAATTACAATTGACAGCAGAGATGAGTGTCATCTTGTTATTGAGCATGTAATTAACATTGCTAAAGAGACGTTTCTCATAATCATGTATAAGGCTTCTTCTTTATAAAACATAAAATTTTATAGAGAAAATTAAAACAAAACCCGCAACACAAAACACACACACACACACACAAATAATAAAATGCAAGGAAAGATAAAAAAAAAAGGCTTTCATCATATGCTTTATTGTGCATTCCATCCTACCTTATCTTTGGAAGATAACACAAAATTTCTCTGACAGAATATTAGATTTTCGGAGAGTGCCCCCTGTGGCTGGGAGGTTGATCAACGTCACCAAGGAAATCCTGTACACTACACACAATGAAGAATTGAAAAGTGTCTTCTTCACCTCTCCAGGTGAGAGTCCAAAAGTTCAGCTGAGCAGTGATGTCAGTCAATTTAAGTCTGACATTGATAACTCAACTTATCAGATACATTACAACACTTTATACGGGCATACTTGCTGGTAGAACAGTACTTCCTGTAGGACTTTATCAGAAAGCTGTAAAAACTGGACTCCACAAAGGCTGTTCTGGAAATGCAGGTATAGTTGGCTCATCATTGCAGCAGGCTGAAAATCACAAACTTCTGGGGTTAGAGGCCTTACCAGCTGCTGTAGCTGCTGTAAACGAAGACAGTGACATGACTAATGTGTGGCAGTTTCAGAGAATCCTTTGGGCGGGGGCATTGTAAAAGCCATAGTGTGAGGGTTTGACCTTGACTTTCCATTGCCTACCTTCCTGCAGCGAACAACACATGTTTCTTCGCCAAGTGTTTGTACATGTGCAAGACAGAATACGCGGTGTGTGGGAGCCCCGACGCTCTGGAGGGCTCCATGTCGGCCTACTTGCCTAGCCTAAGCATCGCCCCGCGCCTCGCCATCCCAAACCCGTGGACTCGCTCCTATACTTTCACTGGGAAAGAAGAGTAAGATGGTCCTCAAGCCACCCACTAAATGCCACATGCTATCACACAGCCGCCCGCTAAATGCCACATACTATCACACAGCCACCCGCTAAATGCCACATACTATCACACAGCCGCCCGCTAAATGCCACATACTATCACACAGCCGCCCGCTAAATGCCACATACTAACACACAGCTGCCCGCTAAATATCACATACAATCACACAGCCGCTCGCTAAATGCCACGTACTATCACACAGCTGCCCGCTAAATATCACATACAATCACACAGACGCTCGCTAAATGCCACATACTATCACATAGCTGCCCGCTAAATGCCACATTATAGCACACAGCTACCCGCTATATGCCACGTTCTATCAGACAGCCGCCCGCTAAATGCCACGTACTATCACACAGCCGCCCGCTAAATGCCACATACTATCACACAGCCGCCCGCTAAATGCCACATACTACCACACAGCCATCACACCTGTCTCCTAAAGTACCTGCTAGACCTATGTGTGTCTGTGAAACTGTGCATATAGATCTATGAAAAAAGCATTTTTTACCTATAAAGTAATGCATCACTCTCTGCTCTTACAGATGGGAAGTAAATCCATTCTTCTGTGACTCTATTAAGCAGCTCTATCCATACAACTCTGGGAACAGACTACTTAATATCATAGATATGGCTATATTTGACTTCCTCATAGGTAATATGAGATTACATAGCAAATATTATATAATATTTTATATATACTGTTTCTTTTCCACTAAATAGATGCCCAGGTGCTATGGAAAATATACATATATATTATATATTTTATAGAATATAGAACACACATTATATATTATTTATATTTTTTTTCTCAGGAAATATGGACCGACACCACTATGAAATCTTCACCAAGTTCGGAGATGACAGCTTACTTCTCCACATTGACAACGCCAGGGGGTGCGTAGGTAACAGCAGTGGTTGTTGCACAATGCTGCGCAGGGCGTTTCCTTGGCGCTCTGTCCAGATACACCTCTGCCTCGCCTCTTTCCGCAGGTTTGGGAAACATTCCCACGACGAAATGTCAATACTGGCCCCACTGACGCAGTGCTGCATGTGAGTATACGAGGTGTGGGTCAGCTTGCTGATTGGGGCCAAACAGCTGCTGTTCATGCACCCAAGACACGCTGACCTAGATTCCTGGATCTGCTGCTCGATGCAGAAAGCTCGCCTACATGACACTGTGAAAAATTTACTTAACATCATTAATATAAACTGAAATTAGCCTGGCATGCAAATCATTTGCCGACTGAAAACAATTCACCTAGAAAAGTTTGTTACACTTACGGCTCCACATCATGATGTGATTAAGCCAATGCCTACCACGTTGCCTGAAAGGTTGATTTCACAGTGAACGCCGATTTCTGTGCCGTGGCAGAATCAAAAGGTCGACCCTGCAGCGTCTGAGGCTGCTGTCCGAGGACGACTACCGGCTCAGCGATGTCATGAGGGAGTCTTTGGGCCGGGATGCCTTGCTGTCCATCCTCACGGAGCCGCACCTGCAGGCCCTGGATCGGCGACTGCGGCGCATCCTCCAAGCCGTACGGACCTGCATCAGGAAGCTGGGCGAGACGCAGGTGGTGGCTGTCGACTTTGTGGAGTCGCACGGGGGGACCGTCACCCCCAGTGACATGAGGTAGCACAGGGATCCTGCAGAGGGGGTGACGTGATCCCTGACAGAGAGAAGGTGTACGAAGCACTGGATAACTTAAGACATTGACTCTTATGCACACTTTTTCCTCACAAGCTGATCTGCTAATGCTCCTCTTACTAATTCACTCGATAAGGAAAATAAACATGCATTTTATTTACTGGACATATCTTTACGAAGTCTGTGGTTGCCTGGGGTGTGCATCCCTATCATTTGTATATGAAAGTGTGTAAAAATTTACCGAATTTATGAAAAAGTAAATTATTTTTCCCAGAATGTGGAGTGAAAAATAGAATATATTTTTTTCATTTTTTTTGCAACAAGCTTTTGTCAGTAGTAACTTATATTTCAACTGAGAGAGAGAATTGACCCGAGGCTCCTGAAGACCAGGAAATCGCACTCCTTTTCCATTTCGAAATGTAAAGTGAAAATCTTACAGGTTTTGAGTCAACAGTGCTGTTTCATTATTTGTTCTTAAAGGAATTGTCTTTTACAGTCTTTACGTGTTAATCTCAGACGTTTACATGTATGTTAACCTTGGACATTTACACGTATGTTAACCTCCCATCGCCCAAATGTGTCGGCATTCTAGAAAAGGTAGGCTACTGAGCGACATGGCTGATGGAAAATTAGTAAAAATAAGACAAAAGCTGCATTTATTATAAAAGCTAAGAAGTGTTATTTTCTAAAATATCTGGAACCTAAAAACGTCATTTAGTTTAATTGACATCTCTGTATTACTCATGGTGTGTGATTATGTGTTTGTATGCGACCTGTAACGTTCTGGTATCCAGTTCTGGGTGTACCCTGCCCTGTTTGTACTGGACTTGCTGCAGCCCAGCATTGGATAAACAGTTGTAGAAAATCGATCAATGGATGGATGACAGAGAGCAAATTCATAGCGCTTTTCCTCCAACAAAGAATTGGTTCCTTTCTGGTTGGCAAACCAGTTCAGTTTGGAACCAGATGCCCAACCAGGAACCAGATGGCATTTCCACCAATTTACATTGAGTTTACATTGACCTCTGTGCAGAGGTGTAAAGTTCATGTATTCATACTTCGTCACTATACTTATACTTTTTTTGAATTTGTATAACACTTGAGTATTTTAAGTTGTTGCAACTTTTACTTTCACTTCACTACATTTCTGAGCCAAAAACTTTTTACTTGAGTATAGGGCTGCAAAAGTAAAATGTGAATCAAGATTTTTTTTTCACAGAATAGAGATTGCTATTTTCTTTCAACAATATATTTCTCTTTTTATTATTATTATTATTATTAGTAGTAGTATTATATTTAGCATTGAGATATGCAGACATGCACAGTATTTTCGTTAACATACTGATATTGCCGGCCGATGTTTAGGCCCAAAGTCTATCAGTATTCAAAGTTCGCAGCACCAGAACTAAAGACACAACCACTGAAATAATGGAGATGATTACACGGGGCGATTTTCCATAGTGGACGACGAGGGATATTGTCGGGTTAGTGAGAGGTCTCAAACTACCAGCCTGTGACATGTTTATAATCCATTATCAGGGTTAAGGCTATTACTCTAATCATTTACTTGAGTAACAGTTTGGTGTGGTGTGTGTACTTTTACTAAAGTAAGAAAGGTGAGTAAATTTTCCACCACTGCCTCTATGTGTTGCTCCTGTAGATCAAATGGTACACGGCCACTCATGATGTCATCAAGGTTCCTGTTTAGGATCTATTTCTTGGTTCTCAACAGAAACCTGGTTTTATTTTGGGGGAAACGTGCAGAACCATTCAAAAATAGGTTTGCGAACTGGAACGGAACCGGTTCTCTATTGGTGGAAAAGCACTATCAGAGAGTTCCAATTGAATAGAAAATTGCCATTAGCGTGTGCAATGAAAGCTCAGAACTACATTCCTAAGTGTGTGTGTATATACATACATACACAAACACAACTCTTCTGAGCCTCTTATTGGTTCACATAACTTAGTAAGATATGTCTGAGGGGATATAAGTGATATTCCATCTGTAGGAAAGTGTCACCAATAAAACAATCTGCAGCCTGAAAGGTTTACGGCCTTATTTTCGAGACAGGCTGTAATACCCCAGATCCCCTGTCTCATCAAGACAGAACTCAGTTTCCTTTGCTAAACAAAACCTTCTCCCTATGAACACAGCAGTTTTAATAAGCCCTATACCTATTCTGAAATACAACTGCTCGAAAGCACTTAAAGTCGTCTGTAAACAAGCGCAGGAAACTAATTATTACTCTGAAGGCAACATAATGCACAGGAGTGAAGGAAATTATCAGAACATGTACACCGAAATATAGCTTGAATATCTAGGCTGAAGTATTGTAGGTACTTTCGTGAAAGAAAATAAGCAGAACCACTGTTTTGAACACAGCATTTGTAAATCAATGCTCAAACATCTAAAGCCCTGTAGACTAAAACAGCTGCTCTGGCAAATGCAGTATAGCCATTTGGTACAGGCCATATTGCTCACAAATAAAACCCCGTGCCGTTTCCAGTTTTTTGTGGGTTATTAAATCGCCCTGGACAGCTTGGAAAGTTAACCGCACTGTGTTCAGTTTTATGATGAAGGTAAAAAAAAAAAAAATCGTATTATTCTACTTGAAGCTGATTTGCATAAAGCTACCAATCTGAAATCTGAGAGGAAACATTTTCCCTGACACCAAACATCCTTGTTCTGAAGAGTTATAAGCTGTTCTACACTGACCTCTAGTGTGTGAGGTGAAAAATGCACTTACAGTTCAATAGCGACCAAATAATAAAAAGTTTTGAATACTTAATAGCTTACAAACATTATTGTATTTAAGTGTGGTAAATTAACATGTAATTTATTTAAAATTAATATATAAACTGTGTATGCGCAGGACAGAGTTTTTAAAAATGACTACTGGAGACAATATACAGTAGGTAACCCCAAAAATGTTTACTTCAGCAACCTTGCAGAAAAAGCTATGCAATGAATGACTTTTTAAATTACGCAGTACCTGGACAGACACCAAACTAATGAGCCAATCAATCTCTTTGCATTCATACAGTAATAACTAATATTTTACTTATTTTCAGACTCTGTTGAAACAAAACAGGAACGCACAATGGATAGATTTAAGAATTTAATGTCTTTATTGCTTGACCTGCCGTTAGGACAATCTATACCAAAAGGAAAAGGGTAAAGCACACAGAGTAAATCAAATCGTACATAGTCATGAATAACAAGAGAAACAAAAATGGTCCTCTGATGGCTGACATCTCGTCATCACTGCAGGCATTATGGGCCTGCTTAAGATTGGGCTAACAGGGACACCGTCACCCTGGTTACACAAGCTAAGGCAGACTATGTTCAGTTTTTTTTTTTGTACATACATACATAGACATACATACATGCATCCATACATACTCTCCACTGAACTGACTGGACTGATAGAGCCATTAAGTGAGCATGTGATAGAGAACTTTAATAAAATAAATCTTGACAAATTAAAAGAAAATAACAGATTAAATAACAAGCTATGCAGAAAGAAAGGGGTACACAAGAGTCCAAAAATATGGGGGGGGGGTGTCAGAGAAAGCAGTATACAGCTTAAGTAAAAGGTGAAAAAGCCCATATCCAGGGCCCAAATGGGAAAAAATATATGTATATGTATTTTAATTACCCACCATTTGCTGGGCTAATGCTGACATTATTTTATGAGCATGACACCAGGTACTCGCATCACTTATACCCAGGACAGGTGAGGCATGAGGTCGACCATAAGTCACTCGTATGCAGATACAAGGTTAAACCCACACCCAGGTCTTCAGTATATTCAATATTTCAGATTCAGGTGTTGCTGTGGACAGCGACGAGTAGGGCGTTCATACTTAAATACCACCTATCAGCCCATTCAATCTTACTTGCACAAGTTTTTTTTAGTTTTTTTAAGTACTAAGGGCAGTGAACATCAATTTAGAAATCAAATTTCATGGTAACACAATGTAATTGTACCAGATTTCATAGAACAAGAATGCAAAATGTTTGTATCAATTCAAGACATAAAATTCATGTGACTTTAGAGCATCATTTTGAATTTGTTTGAATAAAGATGCATGCTGTGATGCTGCTTGAGAGAAAAATAACACTTCCGGTTTAATAAATTTAATAAAATCATTCAATCATGAATAAATAGAAAATATTGATCCATGACACTTTTACAGGAGACAACTAACATACTGTTATTTTGTTTGTTGAAAACAGAACAAACATTGTATATTTAAGTCATGGCACTGGGCATCTATAATAGACTTCATGGAAAAATAAGCATTTACAAAAAGTCTGAACTTTACACTACTTGCTCAGAGCTTGTGGTCACTCCCAACTACAGTCCTATACTAGTTCACGCTATACATAGTATTAAGAGTAACAATTATAACGATAAAAAGATATGCGATTATATACGTTATAGAACAGTGGAATATGTTTAAACTGCTAATCATTTGGTGCATACTGAGAAATGTAACAAAAACTGGTAAATACTGAAACACACTTAAGACTGAGCAAGGATTCGTCTTTTAAGGGTCAACGGGATAAACTGAATTAACGTGTGATGCATCCCACGGGTGATTCACTCTTTTTCGATAAAAACCAAACAACCAATAAAACAAATAGTTAAATTGAAGGCAAAATATTTGCTAGTTATTTTGTTTTGCAATTCTAGTTTACACCAAACAGTCGCTGCGCATTCACCATTTAATCTGAACGTCCAAACCTTTCTGAGATTTCACACTGGTAAATTTCTCAAATGTATAGCAGTTAAAGATCCTATTCTGTAGGCCAAAATCAGTTAAAATAAAATAAAATAAAAACATACCCTAGTGACCCTGTAAAAAGTACAAGTTGATATTTTATGCCTCTTCAGTTATTTTCAGGCTCTTGAACCACTACTTGGTATTTGTGGCATTTGGCACTAGCTTTGTAAGCTGTGTAATTATGACCATAATATTCTGTATTCATCCATGGGATATGCAACTCCCCAAAACATAGATTTTATAATTTTTTATACATATACTTATAAAAATAAATCAGATGTTCAGTTAGAAATTTAGCATAGTTGAACTTATATGCATGCACTAATAACCACCATTTTGTTAAAAAAAAAAACAAAAAAAAAAAAAAACAACTAGTCATGCTTTTCATTTCTCTCCAGAGGCAAATTAAATTTCATATACATTTACCAGTCATACATTTTGCACACGTAAAGCAGATTCTTTCTTTTACAAAATGGCAGCTGCACAAAAAGCACTGACTTTTTTTTTTCCTGAAGAAATGCTGAACTCATCCACGGTAACGGTTGTCTGAAGCTCTCAGAACATAAAGTTAGTAAATATACATCTACAAATTAATTATTTCTGCTTTGGGGAGTTGGCAGACAAACCAAGTGACATGCTGGGGAGAACAGAACAGAAAATATCCACAAATGAGGAGTAGGAAAGGGATGTTTTAACATGCATTAGTGAAACATACATCTTACTAAATAATAATTACAAATTACAGGGACTATGCAGTGGAGGAAAAGTAAGCGCTATAACGTATTGTTTGTATGTATAACGAAAAAGAAATTGGGGCAATCAAAACACTAACGAATGTGCAAATTAGGGGACCTGAGCAGGTCCCCATATTTGTGACAGCACACTTCATGTATAGTACCCCTGAAATAAACTACTTCAAAACAAAGCTACAGCAGCCAATTTAACATATGCCAAACCTCAAAATACTTAACAGCAATACAAATCCAATTTTTTTTGTAGTCTAGAAACACTGAACAGATTTTAAAACATCTGCTGTTCTCCTAATTCTAACTGTTATAGAGTAGCTTCATACAGTAAGAACAACCTTTAAAACACCTTGTCACTATTCTCCTCAGTACAACAATGAGAAGCGACTGTGGGGAGACTTCACTTTGTTCCTTTTTGGATTATAAAAAAAAAAGAAAACAAAAAAAAAAAAAAACAAACCCGCTAGATATTCTGCTATGTAGAAAGCTTATGGAACAAACGCTTGTAAAAGTCTTCAAATCTTGCACTAAGTACATATAAACAGACAGATAAAGCAGGTATGCTGGTGGGTAGCAGAGCATAGTGAACATATGAAATTATTTCACTGTATGTAAAATGCATTCAACAAATAAATGGTAACATAAAAGCAGACTGGATTGCATTGGTGGACCCTGCAGGTAGGGAAGGAGCTGGTAACATTCAGACAGACAGTGATACAAAGCTGTTGTACTGCTGGATGTTTCGTTTCAAAATATCTGAACATGGACCCAGGACGCGTTCAAAGCGAGGCCGGTCAAGCTTGACGCACTTCAGCGGGCCGCGGGCCACCACCGTGGCTGCTCGAGGCCGATTCATTAACAGCGCTATTTCACCTGCAGGTTCAGGAGATAAAGAAAAACAAAAAAATCTACATGTAGGCTGGATCACAGACAGACCCAATCCATTTTCCTGGTTTTAAGCTGCAGTTACAAATGACACTTTCACATGGTCATTGTGTACGGCTACAACAAAGAAACAAAAAGCGTGAGAGTATTCTCACCAAAGTAGTCGGAGGGCCCAAGTCGTCCGACCTCCACAAACTCCTCGTTCTCTGACCTGCGCTGCAATACGGCTGCAGAACCCTGCAGAAAACATTAAAACAAGGCCTTAACATTCCCATTACTGCATCTTCCGAAGCTCATTCCAATTATACTGTTGAATATACTAGGGGTGCACCGATCGATCGGCCTCGATCACGTTAATTTGAGGGGATCAGAAATCGACCATATTCCCATGAGATCCACCGATCTTAGTTATATGCTTTTAACTCTTTGGGGTCGAGTATGTCGTCGACGACATCGCGTACTTTTCGCGTCTATTTCAGTTTATAAATATCTCGCTGAAATCTTAATGTATAATCATGAAAAAAACGCTGGCTAAATCCGTAATCTGTCTTCTTTTCAAAACGTCCATTGTCGGAAGTATTAAAGTTTTTTTTAATTAGGTTAAATCGGCAAAAAAGTAAACC